TCATACAAAATAGTATCTACAATTATATACTACTACAATAATATATTCTTAAATATAAATAGTCCATTACTACACACTCCACCTGCTTATCATGTCATATGGAAACTTCACTGCGACACGGTAACAACCGCGTATTGAAATCACGGGCATTACTTAAATGCGAGTTTACGTAGGTCACGCAGTGCTAAAAAACATTAAAAGTAACAATTCAACCTTTATAAATCTGACAGCTATGCCAAAATGAACCGACCGATTTGGCCGAATATTCGCATTCGGTTAAACTCATATTCAACGCATCTCTAAACTAAAATATGTGTATGTTTCTTTATATAATTTTCTTACAGACTCATTGACTCAGTAGCATGAGTGTAGCATCAATTACAGAAGTCATGGTTCGAAACCTCTACTAACGGGTTAAAATAGGACAAAAAATATAAAATGTACATCCGATACTTCGGCTATCCTTGGAAAAATTTGACGAACTAGTACCATAGATAAAATTAGATACCTAAGTCAAGTTTCATAGAACTTTGACTTTCGATTTTTCGTAGAACTTTTGATTAATCTTATTATAATTTATGACTATAAATTAATGACCTGAAAAGAATCAGTTACCACATACTGTAAAACTTTAGGTGAACAAACACACATATATTTTATTTAAAAACCTCATCATATGTTTATATAACTACTGACAATATGTTTATTATCACATTATCAGTTACATAAGTACTAGAACATGGACTTGCTATTATTATTTAAGTACATAGAGTTCCGCACAGCGTCACACCTTTATGGCCTTTTGCCAAACGTCGGCAGACTGCATTGTGAAAATAACGCCAGAATTAATGAAAGCCATATTTTAATTTACTAGATACAAAAATCAATACCACTAATGCTGTTTACTTATTATGGAAATGTTACACAACTCAAAATTTAAAACAACATTTTAACATGAACTTGGAGAAAATTATTCGGATAATGCCTGTTCAATATAATATTAGTTTAGTAGTTAGGCTACCTCGAGGTCTTGTCCATATAACATGATAAATGTTTACCTAAAAGCTATGTCTATATAAATTATTATTATTTTAGTAATTTCACAATACTCTTTGCTTGCCTAAATTAATACCCTTGCATACGGCTTAGGTTTAGACTTAACGAAGAGATAAACTATTAAATAATGTTTTCTTAATATTTCTAGTAAGCTATAGTATTTTTATTATCGTCACTAAATTGTTAAGTAAACGTAAGACAGACAGTTAATTAAAGCATAATAAGCAATAACAGTAACGTGAAGAGTCAAAAAGTATCGATTAGTAATCCATACTTCCATACTAATATTATAAATGTGAAAGTGTGTTTGTTTGTCTTTCACGTTGAAACGGAGTGACGGATTGGCGTGATTTTTAACCCCCGACGCAAAGAGAGGAGTGTTATAAGTTTGATGTCGATGTCTCTGTGTGTGTGTCTGTCTGTGGAATCGTAGCTCTCAAACAGATGGACCGATTTCGATGCGGTTTTTTCATTTGAATGCCAGTTTCCTGGCGGTTGTTCTTAGCTATGTTTGGTTAATATCGGTTCAGCAGTGTAAGAGTATAAGCTCTTTTCCAAAATGAAAGATTTTGGCGTATGATCACTCGATTAAGTGCTTCACGCGTGCCAGTGTAATCGTTAAATGACAATTAATTTGCGTAGGGGGTTTTTAAATTTTTAATTTATAATTATTTGTGTGGAGATAGTTGGAGGGCTGGAGAGTGACATAGGCTACTTTTTATCGCGCGAGTTTACCTAATTCCCACTGGAAAACACTTTATATTACAATACAAAAAAAAAATATTTTTGATCAGAATTATTTTAAACTTGGTATTAATGCTCTTCAATAAAATTAAATAAATACATGTTTTAGCATTTTTCGACTTCATTCGATTCATCCTAAAAGGGGGTAAAATAGAGCGTGAAAGTTTGTATGAAACTACCTCTTTAGAGATTTTTTTATAGTTTTAGCGCGAGCGAAGCCGCGGGTTCTGCTAGTTAATAGATAAAATAATCAAAAAGAGATAATATCGGTCGCAGATGTTATCTATGATAGCAGTGTCTTGGTTAATTGGAATGTAAATACAGTCATTTGTACACTAAAATGACCAGTTGTGTATTACATTTTAGATTATTTTTTTATTATTTAGAGAAGAATTTATGATGAACAATAATCAAAATGGTGGTGATGGTGGTGACAAAATCAGCAGTGCGGCTTTTCTTCGAACCAGGTAATCTCGTATATGCGTTATAATTGTGAATAAAACTTAGCTGATGTGCCAAAAACCAGACAAAAGCTAACATTAATAATATAAAGTACCTGGACGACCGAGCTTCGCTCGTAGTTTTTGGCCAAAAGTACAACTTTACTAAAAAAAAACTTGAATAAATATAAAAAAAACAAAAGTAAACACTTTGTGTCCAACCGGGATTCGATCCGGACTCCTGTAATTGTCAATCTAGCGCCTTGGCCGCTGGACCACGATGCTTATGCCTGAGCGTGCGAAATTAGTGACCATATTTCGCGTGGAATAATGCGAAAGAAAACCGCATGAAAACTCGAAAACACGTTTTCCCACACAAGACTATCTAATCTAGATCGATTTTTGAAAACTCCCACATACTAAATTTCAGTATAAATATACAAGAATACCTATATTACATTTTGTAATTCAACATACAAAATAATGGCTAATACCACAAGCACAGCCAGATTTAAAATATATATTCAAAAACTTATTGTACATTTGATTGATCAGATAAAATGGCTCGCACTAAATTTAAACTACGTAAGCAGTAAAACTAAGTAGTTATGAAATATTGTTCTCTGTTTTTAAATATTCAAAATTTAAATATCGCCGGTCGTGACTAGTCATTATTTAGGTATGGCTTGTTTTCATTTACAATTCACTTATTGAGTGAACAAACAAACACACGTTGAATTCAAGGTTATGATGTAATTGTTTTGAGAACTCGACGTTTGAATGAGAAAGAAAAACAGTATATGTAATACATATTTATATTATTTATTTTTTGGAAAATCTTATAGAAATAAACATTATTATCGATACATAGGCCGAATCTATAGTTTTTAGAACTTTTGTGTCTGTCGGTCTGTTATCGCATCACAGAAAAAACCACTAGAGGGATTTTGATGAAATTTGGTATGATGATAGCTGTTAATCCGGGTCAACATTTAGGATACTTTTTACCGCGGGAAAATGTCTCATTTCTGAGAAAAAATACAAAAACTGCAATGTAAGAATATACTACCGAGTAATATGTAAAACCTAAGAATTTGGTTTTTGGTCAACTGAACGCGGGCGGAGCCGCGGGCAATGCTAGCACTAAATAAGTTTACTTAAAAAAAAGAACGTGTGTGTACTTATGTACGCACGTAAGAAGTTATACTTCTTTGGCGTAATAGAACAAAAATAGCTAAAGATTTCATCCCGTATCTCACAAGTCTCTGTTTGTAAAAGGAATACAGCTAACTTCTTCATGTCGCGTTTTGGCTGTCGGTGTGCGCGCGCATTGTAAAAATTTTACTCTCATTTTTTTCCAACTTCAAAAGGGAACGCACTTTCAAATTTAGAGGTAATACGGGGAAACCAATATAAATTGTTCTAATTTACACTTATAAATAAAATGCTATCATAGATTTTTATGCGATACTAAAACAGCCAAAATGTTAAAAGTGTTCTAGCAAATCTTCGCGACGTCCTAAATTGGACTTTCACAGACTAAGAACGTATCAAGAAATTTTATCGAATACTTTTACCTTTAAAATGCTAAAATATCTGGTAATGTTAATGTTGATAGGCATAATTAAATGCACATTATATTAATAATTATAATTATTATTATTATTACATATGATATCAATATATGTAATTTAATAGCATTATATAATTTATCTTGAAATCCTACAGGATGAAAAGTTTCCTGGGTACATTCTAGATACCTACTTCTGTTTCGGATCGTATATTTTTACGCAATATTAAAATTTCTTGCAGAAAAAGGCAGAATAAGTTACATAAGTTGAATAAAAAAGATTATTCGGACAATTGTTATGAAATGATAAAGTTTATCCTATAGTCTCGGACCTACACTCTTGGAGGAACAAAGTGTCCCGTGAAAAATATAAAAATCTATTAAATACTGTATTCGTAATACATCAAGAAAAATAACAAACAAGTAAAATATACGCGCACGAAGTCGCGAGGCAACTCTACTTTAGAATATTTATTTATAGCATTTGTGAATGTCATGGCGAAGTGCCGCTTGTAATTTAGCTTCATTGAAGGATCATTATTCTTATAACTTTTCAATTATTCATGAAAATCGAATAAAGCATTAAACAAAGTCTACATGAATTTGATGAGAAGTGTTGACAACTAATTTAATATTAATATTTTAATAATGCAGCTGTGTTTAATTTAACCATAATCATTTCTATTGAAACTTCATTTATTTGTATTGAACCTTGAATATATTGGAAAATTGTTTTTTGTATTTCGATTGAGGTAGAACCATAAACAACCTATATATTTCGATCATTTTCCTGTTTCACTGACTCTTTTTGTATCCCTGTCTACTTTTTTTTGTTTAGTATACTTTGATAATAAAATGCCTTATATTTTTATGCAAAAATTAGTAAGAACAAAAAACGATAGCTACAAGCAGAGAGAGAAAGTCAAAGTAGTATAATTTCAGCATGTGTGTAAACATGTACCTAAATTTTGAGTTATTAGTGATTTCTTTGTCAATCCTTTGACTTTGAAAAGATAGAAATAACCTCATACTGGAATTTAATAATTGTATCCATTTAATGAAACAAACAAGAATAGAATCTTTTCGATTTCATAGGTAGGCTACTTTATTTACAATTAAGGAATATAGTATGCATATTTTAATGAAATTAAACAATAAAACAAAAAAAAAGTATTCATTCAATATCTTACCCGGGGGCTGGGGTGCTGCGGCTGGAGTGTCTGGGGCCACCGTAGTGCCCGGGTTGCTTTTACCCCAAGACACGGCTTATTCTGAAAATAAAATACATTTGTAACTAAATTATATATGTATAGATAGATATGTAACAAATAAAGGAATTGTGTCAGTGAATATTCATAAAACATTTGTAGATTTTGATAGAATATTGAAGTAGGATAATCATCATGTTTTAAAGGTTTGAACTCTATTTTAAAATAAATACATAAGCCATTGCAACATATTTGTTGTTAAATATTATTAATGCAAAGCTTGTGGCAGTCTATTAGCAAAATTATGACATAATAACAATCTCCTTGAAATATGCCACTGATGCTGATATTGTTTTAGACAGCCTACTAGGAAAAAAATACTTTTATTTACTTTTAAAAACACAAGAAACTGCCCCACTTCAGGGACACTACTGAGGTACTAACTTTGCACCTGCCAGCTAAGTGGGCAGTATTTAACTCTTTGAAAAGATCAAGTTTATTTTACAGTTATTAAGAATAGAGAAATGTGTTTAACTTTCTGTTGTTGAACTTAAAGCAAAATATACTTAGTTTTTTGAAACAATATTGTAGATTGTAACAGATTACTTTTAAATCAAATAGCATTAATGATTTGACAGATTTGAGAAAATCAGTGACAGACATGCAGGCTTAAGGCAAAAGAGTTCAATCCAGGAAAATAGGATGATCATCCATTCAACAATTTTGTATCTCTATTAATTGTTTCTCGAAATGTACCTACCTTAATTTTTCTTAGTTTAAACTTAGTTATAACTTATAATATATTAATGAGTAAGCTGTGGTCTCCTATAAGTGAAGAAGCACATGTGTTGTGAGACTTATTTGCTTTTTGTTTTTATATGATGTTGTGTGTGTATCTTTTGTTGGAGATCCTAAATAAAATAAAAATAAAATAAATAATAATTTTATATTTAATTTGATACAAATTGACTTAATTATATTAATAACTAGCAATTTACCCTTGCTTTGCTCTTAAGTTTTAATTTTTTTGAGTAGAATTCTTTTTCTAAAATAAAAATAACCTAAATAACTCCTTATAACATCAGCATCATATACCAGTGAAAGTCCCGTCAAAACCAGTCCAGCAGTTTCAGAGATGAGCCGATACAAACAGACACAAATATTTTTAAAATTGTATTTTTTTCTTATATGTATAGTTTACAATTTCATATGCATATAGTAAAAAGCTGTAATTTTGACATTACAAACCGACACATCAATTTTATTTACCTGAATAGATAAAATAAATTTTATACTTGTATAGTAACAGAGAAGTAATACAGTAATATAGGCAACATACCATACATGAAAAGTTGCCATGCATATAGATAGTATTTAAAAAACTAATGTCATTGAATGCATCACAGGGCAAATGCTGCTTAAATGTATATTCTAACACTTAATTGGTTTTAAGCCAATTATAGATATACTAATGTTTAATTATACACTGAAGAAAAAAATTCTTTACTATAACTTATCAGCTATTTTATAGCTGTGTTCATAATAAATTAAAAAAATAAGAATAATATATTTAGTTTACATATTTTTTTCTTAGAATGATATTTTTATTATCTGCTAAATGTAGATTTTTGAAAATAATATAAACATTGTTTTTTATGGAAATCTGTTGTTCTTTAAATCAGTGAACACCTTCTTATAGTCAGTCAATTGCTATTTCAATTGAGTAATAAAAAATAATAATGTCATCAAACAAAGATATTACTAAATGGTTAACCATGAAACATATTTGCACAACTCAACCAATGGCATTTTTATGATGTTTCATGTTACCTACACTTATAAAGTACACATTTGTTTTCATTTTATGTAATTGACTAACATTATTAGGTACATTTACTGCAAACATTGAAAATGCTTATGTTATATCTATATAACTGTACCTGTACAATTAAATATTAAATATTAGAATGAAACAAAAATACATAGAATATTTGAGCTAAATCTGTACCAGTGAATTTCACGGTTCAAGGAGTGCAAACAAGACTGAGTGTACCACAAATTTTATAACAGTGTTACAGATGAATCACAGCCAAAAATAATGCGTGTCGAATTGAATAATATTAATGACCTGGAATCGAATCTTGATCTTCCCGTATAGATAATCTTAAAGATATTTTTAGACTATTTACAGTAATTATTATCAATGCCTAAATATGTTTTTGATACACGTAGTAACTCGACCTCGAATCAGGCGAAACATTGTTGTATTTAACTCACCTTGCTTGGACCTTCTACACAAAAATCCTTCTGCTGGTTAGCCAGTTATCAGAGCGCACTAATAAATAAACAGCATAAAAACAATGTGTTGCACAAGCAGATTAAAATCGATAAAATACAATCACAATATTATATTCTATAACGGTGTCACTGAACTTCTCGCCGCTTGGTGATTCCCGACACGGGCTCTGACACTAACCGTGGTTCACCGACGCAGATAGTTAATACCTTTGTTAAATGAATTACGAAAGTGAAGTAACGGGATTTTACATGAGAAACCTAGGTACTTTGCACAAAGAAAATGTCAGGTTGAATCACAGATGATAGATGATTCAATATTTAAAAAACAGATGGCAACTATATTGTCACAGATTATAGACAGCTATATAGATAAAAAATGTATTTACGAAAGGAATACTTCCTGTTTTCCACTTAGAGCACTAAAGCGCATTATGCGGCATAATAATAACTTCAATCATCAAGCATTTTAAAAAGTACTGCTTTGGCGTCACGCGCGCAAGTATACCAACTCATCAGAAAATATGAGAAGTGTTTTTTTCTTTATAATTATATAAATAATAATTGACTCTTTGGAATAAAAAATGCATTTGTTATTAAAATGAATTATATTCCATTTCACAGAAATGTACGTAGAGATCTTGAAAAGTGATAGCTGCCGTTGCGCACTTGGCCGCAACCTCTTGGCAGCCAGGTGTAAGCAGGCCATATTTTGTTAAGTTTATACGTTCATGGCTTAAATTTATCATTTTTAATATAACAAATTAAAGCTATTTTTGTCTCTACCTGATAAACTACGTCTGCCTATGTAAACGTGGCCGCAAAAGTGGTTGCGAGTCTTTAAAGATTTTTTGTTACATTTATACGTTCATGGCATATATTCATCATTTATATATCAAATTAAAATGATAAAATACCTACCTCTACCTATGTAAAAGTAATGGAAAGAAAAGAAGGAAAGAATATAATATACTGTTTATTAATTATTAGTAGTTAAACTTAAGAGAGAAATAATTGTGGTATTATGCAAAAGAAAAAAAGAAAAAAGAAATGTACTATAAATACACTTTATTCTTGTGACGATTACAAATTCTTTCCGTGTTCAAAGTTAGCCTGAATTTGCGAGTCGTGGATAAATTTATAATTGCCTGCGTTAGGATCAACTCCTGCAAAATAAGGTAATATGAATTAAGAATTTTATAAACTACCTTTTGTTTAGTATGAACTTTATTATTTTAAGAGACCTATACCTGGGCCATCTGCTGACACGTGAGCATTTCCAATAATAATGTCTTCTGGTACACTGTCTCTATTTTCCGTTCTAAAGTTAGATGGTTGAACCTTAAAAATATAATTGTTAATTTTAATTTATTTTATTACACTTTTCGGATTTTTCAAAATAGAATTACCTGTCCATCATTCCTCATAAGATCAGGCATGACTATGGCTCCTGGGTACCTATTGTATATGCCATTTAAGTTGTAGTGCAAATTCATATCAGGTCCAATATTAGCTTTCAGAAGTTGCTCCCATATTCCACCTAAATAAAAATTTGGTATTATACTCGAAAATTACGATAAACTAACACTTTAATATTTTGGTTCAAAAAGGGAGAGTACTGATTTGAAAGTAGCTTTTTGACATAAAGAGAAAGCTTATCTATTTAGACTATCGGTTCGAAGTGGCAAAAATATATGCATCTTAAGTAAATTGCTTGAAGCAATTCTGGCAAGTTTTAAAGTAACATTCAATAAAATATACTATAACAATTACGGAAATTCTCACCTTTATCGATAGACACAATTGGCCTACTAGATTGCCAAGGGTATTCTCCATGAGCTTGAAAGTAAATGGCATAGGTAGAAAGCTAAATCAAATAATTATGATTATTAAAGTCATTATTGTTATATTTATTATTATATTAATTAAGGAGATCAGTTTATAAGTTTAAGGACATCCAACTCCTCATAATATAAACATCAATGGAAGGAGCGATAAGATTAATTAAACCTGAGATTGTAACTCCTATTATTCTCTCTCATTACCTCACAAAGAATACTCGCATATAATCGTAAATAAGGTAGTTTAGTGCTAACAAGTAGCTAGTAAATTCAAAAATCTACTTTCAAAGTGCTATGCCACGTACTACGGTGCTGGGTGAAGGGAAAAAATATATATTTTTAAACATATTCAAATGAATGTTAGCCCTAGAAGAATGAAAAAATCAGTCAGTTTTGGTGTCAAAATGTAAGTATGTCTCATCGGTTATGTATTGCCTGGCTTTTATCGTAACCTTTTTTTAACATTGGGAAATGCATTAACGCATACCACCTGCATATACGCAGGTGTTTTTGTAGGACTCATCAACTAGAAAAACCAGTACTACGGACTACCCACTAAAACCCATTTTAGGATTAGGATTTTCTCCTAACCTAAACGAAAAAACGACCTTCACTTAACGGTGGCTACACTAATCCTTGCTTTGATCATGTTAACGCTAGGGTATGGGGGGCGAAGAACCCCTGAGAACGGCGGCTACCTAAAACGTATTTTCTTGGCTACCTTACAATGGGTGAACATTATGGCTTTCTTTTTAATATTGTGAAATATCTATGATCTCTTCTACTTTCGGGAGGAATAAAATAACGTGACGGATATTATTAGTGTATTAGAACGGATAACATACCTACCTAATAATCAGGCTAACTGCCAGATATTCAATGAACGTTGTACAAATATACGCTCCGATTTCACTACAGGATATCTCGAAAGCTTACTAGAAAATAAGGGTATAACAACTCGCACCCACGTTGCTCTTATCATGGAAGTTTAATGCCAGAATAGGAATATAAGCAATAAAAATAACAATGGATAATATTGTGAATTTATAAAATAAAAATGATTCTAAGATAATAAATAATTACATACCAAAAAAGTTTGGTCTAATAACCCTGAGATAGATTAACTAGAACCAAACAATAGCATTATCTTAATTCAGCTTAGTACCGTTCATCATTATAGATTTTTTAAACACAAAATGATAATTCGTTTAATTCTAATTAATTAAACTAATTGTCATTTTTAGAACCCCACAAAGTGTTAACCTACGGCCCCCAAAATTCTCGGTCCGCCCGTGATCATAGGGGTTAAATTGTAATGATTTTTTTAGAATCGCAGGGGCTATTGTTAATGAATACGTTTTTCAAAATGAAGCCCTATCGGAAAATGACCTGCAAAGCCCCGATAAATAATAATGTTCTCCTAAATGAGCACATTCGCAAAAAGACAAAAACAATCAATATAGGTACCTATGCTAAAAAAATTTGCTCGCTGAGGTGATACTGGGCTAGTCATATGTGACTTAAATCTATCAACCAGAAGTAGAAGAGTTTTAGAGTGGAGACCCCGTGTAGACAAGTGCAATCTGGAGCGCCCTGCGAAAACATGGTCACACGACATCGCCAGGCATGCTAACTCTGGCTGGATGAGTAGAGCCCATTATAGAGAAAAGTGGCGCAACCTGAGAGACGCAAACTTTAAGAAATAGACGGACATGGGTTGTTTATTGATTGATTGGCTTTTATCCCGGTACGAAACAATTCGGTTCACAGACATACAATAACACTTTCTTGACGTGACGATAGACGATGATGACGATGACGTCGCGAGCATGCCGTATTTTTGTAGTGTTAAGTTTTTCCCTCCGCTGGGACAAACCCCTCGCAAACTAAAATACTGGATCCGCCAATATATGTATATTATAGTTATTAGGTACATTTAATTATTGTTTAATTCGCTTTCTACATAAATTAACTTATCCTTGCTTCGCTCGTGTGCGGGAATGCAATTTAAATAGGTAACATAATTCTTTTAAAAAGGTTTAATCAGTTTAGTGACCTTGATAGTAAGTACCTATTACCAATTCATAATCCTACATGACACCTATATACGGCATTAACATTATCAAAGTAAAAGTACCAAAGAAACAGATTCGTTCCGTTATTAAGTTTGATAAACTTGTAATTGAATTGATTAAAGCGCTATAAATTGAAATGAATTTCCAAATTTTAACTATAATTTAGAATTTATTAACGTTAGCATATTAATTACATTACCTATTATATAAAATGGATAAATGAAATGAATTGTAACTTATCCCATAAAAACCACTTACATACATCCCACAAAAACTTCATTCACAGAGGTCAAGCCAAGATATACTCCTTTCATTCCTATATTATATTCCTATCTTATAATAAAGTAAATAAGTTGCCCTGTTGCGGCGTTTTGTCTCAATTTTAGAATCATTATTAAACTAATTATTTAATAAGACTATTCTTACCTGAGTATAGTAAAGAGCAAGCCAATATTTGCCACCGTGACCAACGAATGCAGTTTCGTTGGCATCTAACAAGCCCACAGGCATGGGCTGATGTAAAGACTCGGGGGCTATGCGGAGATTGCAACCGTACCTAAAATTACATAGGTATATAGATCAATATTAAACGATTAGTTTTAACCGCCTAATTTAATCGACCTAATTACTTTTGTTAAATATCAGATATGTCTACGAGTACGTACCTACGTAATTACGTGAATAGTCTTTTATTATCAAGTCTAATTGTTTTATAAATAAAGATTTTTTTAAACTTAAAACTATGATATAATAAAGCAGAAACTTAGCGAAATGTACACAATATAGACCCCAAAACAATAGTTATTAAAATTTTTGTCTCTTTGTCTCTGTGACTGTATATCTGTTTGCGTGTGCGCGTTTCACGCAAAAAGTAATGAACCGATTTTAACAAAATTTGGTGAAGTAATAACTTATTACCCGGGTCAACATGTAGGATAACTTTTACTTCAAGAAAATCTTTCTTTCCCACGGGAAAATACAATAACTGGTTTTATCAAGTCCTCCTTAGAAACCTTCCGTAGTCTAACCCTTAAGATATACACCAAAACAATGTGCTAAAAAATTATAGGTCTTGAAAAGACCTACAGAAAAGTTTGCAATAGTTTTTGTCTATTTCCTAAGATACACTCACATTTCGCAATATCTGTTCTTATAATAAAATAAAACTAAATATATATTTTATTATACCTATAATGAAACTAAGTTAGTCTAATCGACGTGCGCGTTTCTCGCAAAAAGTATGTACTGAATCAATCATTTCTCAAGTAAGGAATACTATTTTTTATAATAATTACATACTTTTCTATATATATGTATGTACTAAGTACATTGCACATACATATATTATGTGCGTGTAGTCTATTCTATACTTACCGTTAAAACGTACCGCGCAAAAATTATAAAAATACCACGTTTCAGCGGTCTTTCCAAAAACTTATAGATAGACAAAAATTCTAAATCTTTTAATCTGTCTCCTATTTCATCTCAAATGTCTCAATCATTTCTTAATCAACACAAAAATAAAAAAAAACAATCTCTTATAATTTAATACTAATATTATGTAAGTATTCAATATAATTAAGGAAACATACCAATCAGGACAGGCCTTCAGAATATCGTAGGGGGCGCGATAGTATTCAGCTCTCCGCACCACAGGGTTCCGGATATTGAACCTTTCATGGGGGTCAGTTAAGTTAATTCGTTTGATCTTCACATCCCGTCGTTCGCAAATGTAGTCGTAATGAAATTTGGGTATAGATTCACCGCGAGCACAATATGTAGCTTTAAAGTAAATTAAAATGTTATATTTATTGCAATTCTAAGCTATGTCTGAGTAACTCCTAAGAAAGTTTTGCTTTAAATTTTTTTCACTATAAAACTCGTAAATGTCTAAAGGCCAATGCAACAAACAATGCAGAAAGTGTATTTGGAATCCACTGAGTTTCATAACCTTGCTCTTTTATGCAAAAATGTGTCCAAATATTTTTAAACATATGAAATTATAGTACATTAGTGCAAAAACACATAAAAATGGTTGGAGAAGCTTATACTGTGTCGCAAAGAGAATCATTAAAGAAAATAAAAAGAGTAAGTAGGTACATTAGTAGGTAAGTATTAAAGACATAATTTAAAGTTTTAACTTACTCTTATACGTTCCATCCAGTGTGTTAACGGCTGCATACCAATCTATACAATACCTATATCCCAAAACAGTTGGATACCGAAGGTAAGGTACTTTACATGTGAACCGACCCTCTTGATACATAGCTCCCTACAAAGTCAATAATAATTAGGTAAATATAGCCAGTAATGCAGAAACAGATCTATCCTACGGGAACCGTTCATTTTTCCGGGATAAAAAATAATAGGTTACTTTTTTGTTTGACCGGAAATATGAGGTATCAGCGTGCCAAATTTTACTAAATTAGGTGCATAAGTTGTGTACTAAGCTGTATAAATTACTATAGTTTTCTATCCCACGGGAACTTTTTAATTTTCCAGGATAAAAAAGATCTAAAATATTGTTCGGGATTATAAGGTACCAGGATGATCTGAAAAAAAAAACTGGATTAAAGCAAGTTTTTGTTCTATTTTTCTTCTTACGTCCTCCTGACTCGGTTATTAGCATTTTTTTTCCATGTACAGACATTCGACCTCTACAGTTTTATTATATGTATAGATAAATGTTTTTTTAATTAGTACAGTACTTCGTGATATATAGAAGAACACATACTTATGTTATTATAATAAATATGTTAAGCACACCACGCTTTATAAAGGCACCGAGTTCTGCATTTATAAACTTAAAAGGGCCAATGTACACAACGATACAAACGCGCGACAATTAGATCGACAGCGCCTTAAAAAGTCGTCATGTGGATAGGCCCTTTCTAATACATTTAAGTTAACATACTTTACATATAACGCTCCTCCTTCCCGGTGGCCTAGAGACTCCACCAAAGCAGTAACTACGAGTGCCATTGATCATGATCTCTGTAACTCCTATATGTGATATTAGGGTTATTCCATTTATACCAGCTAAAGCGAACCGCTGTAAACCCGCTCTTTTGCGCACTTCAACATTGTTTTTCATGCTCATAGTGTTCACTATAGCCTGCCATCCATACACAAACTCGTGCATTGGACCTAATATTATTATTTATTATTATTTTTGTGTACTAACGTAATATACTATTTTACATTATAGTAACACTTTTGGCAAAATGATTCTCTGTTGGTTATTATTTTTTAAGAAAGAAGCTAAATAGAAAAAATATTACAAATGCAATTACAAACGCTTAAATTGAATTCATCTTGTCTTTTTAGCTCAAATTATTAGCCGATTATTATAGGTACATATTTTTTATAGGTATTCAAATTATTATATATATCAGAAATATAACGGAACAAACCGATGCCAAAACTGTCTCCATCAAGAAAATTGAACATCTCGCCGAAAGAGTCCGGCATGAGACCGGCAATTCTGGTCGAGGTTTGGAATAGATCATCAGGTAGCATTGGTCCTATCTCGTCCGGTGGTGTAGTGAATTGATGAGACACATTGCTGTAGTGCGCTCGAGAAGCACGCGCTTCCTATACGTAAATATTGTAGGTACATGTAAATTAAAACATTTCTTTCTAAAAACTATAATGAATAGCTACTGACCAACTTAAAAAAGGATGATACTTGTATATGCTATATACTATACATACACACGCAGTTATTAGAAAACATGTACATATACTATATTTTCAGACCAAATCCAGGCCGCTGTTATATTCCAAGAAGAGAAATAAAGAGGGTAATGGTACAACGTGATGATATCAATGTGTTGAAATAGGTGTTACCTATTTAAATTTTACTAGCCTATCTGTTCTGTCTATACCTACCTTTAAATACGACGAAATAATGTAATTCCCTCTTACTTACCTTTGGAATCCATAGTTGCAATAATATATAGACAATGAAATACATTGCATTGGTAAAACCGTTAGTAAATTGAAAGGTTCAGTAAAATTTAATTGACCAATAAAATAGCAGCTCGTTAGTGAGCAAGCTGTAAAAATATTGAAGAACTTAAATGCAATTATTGTGATTACAATAATAATTGCTATGATGGTTAAAAACTTTATTGTATAACAATTGCAGGCAATAAATGAGCTTAGAGCGATATATGTATAATTCTGATAATAAGAATAAAGTCTGATCCTTTTCAATACCCATAAAATTTTCGTTTTATAGAGATACTAACGACTTACCGTCGTCGCTTCGCTCGGGTTCGTCGCCTCGGCTTCCCAAAACAAACTTTCATCCCCATTTTCAACCCCTTAAGGGATGATTTTCGGGATAAAAAGTATCCTATGTCCTTCCCAGGGTCTCAAAATATCTTATTACCAAATTTCATCTCAATAGGTTCAGCAGATCTATAGACTCCCTACAACGTCAAAAACTCACAGTTCACTAACTCACTAACTTTTCTTCTTTATAATATTAATAGGTATACATTAAGAATATTAGTAACTATCAACTTACCATCGCTTTAAACTGCGTCCTTCAGTGCTTAACTTATAACCATGAACGAATTAGCCACAATTCGTTCATGCTTATAAATAACCTATGTGGAATTAAAAAAAAACTCCAGAATTCAGATACTAGTCTCTGTACTTACACTAAATTTCTTTTAAATCCAATTCAGCCCAACATACAAATACAGGACAAGTATACAAGTACACTAACACACGCAAATTTTGAATTTTTAATATAAATAGTCTGATAATAATTTTCTTCTAAGTAGTAGATATCGGCTAGCAATCTCATTGATACCAGTAAAATGCGTAGTAGGTACACAAGTGCAGTCGTTATTCCTTTTTCTCTAAAGCTCGATGGGTCAGCAATAGGGAATATGCATGATTTTTTTTATAAAATACATTTTTATATACTCGTACCTAATTGAAAAAAAATATAGCTTCAAAAAAACTAAAATTTAGTATAGAAAAAAAAATAATATCATACCGTTACGGACACTTGAAACGCTCGGCATTTCGCGCTTGGCGTGACGTCGCAGTATGATATACACAGACAGAATTGACGACTCAATTTGTAAGCGGCTCTGTTTTGATATACTCTGACGTCATATTCAGTCCGATCAATGGCGTGCATTTCATCTACTTTTAATTTCCCACCTGTTTTTGCACTTTTAAATAATTATCAAAAAGAAGTTACATCTTTACATATAATAAAACTGTAGAGGTCGAATGTCTGTTCATAAAAAAATGCTAAAAACCGAGACAGGGGGATGAAAGAAAAGAAATAGAACAAATCCAGATATTTTCATTTTTTTTGTTTCTCCGTCGATCTGTTTGTACGTACGGGCTTATCTCTAAAACAGTTGGACCGATTTAAATGATATTTTGCATGGTGGTACCTTATACCCCCGGTCAACATTTTAGATATTTTTCATCCCGGAAAATTAAAAAGTTCCTGTGGGATAGTTAAAAAACAATAGTATCTTATACAGTTTTTTCTATATACAGACATTCGACTTCTGCAGTTTTATTGCATGTATAGATAGATAACATAACTATTGAAATATTATTCAAAATAGTAAAAAATATATTTATATGACTAATCGTTACCTGTAGTTGGTAAATACTTTGAGCAACAAAATTATTAGCGGTTAAAAATAATGCAATGCGGAGCTAGGGATCATAACTAAAAGAACTAAATGAAAAGAAAAACTTTATTTCATAAAACTATAAAATCCAAAAACAGTATTTAGTACCATAAACTTTTACATAATTTTAAAATATTCTAATTGCGCAAAAAGACGTTGAGTACTGCATATGAAATTCAAATCGAGTATCGTTCATAAAATATAATATACAGCAACCAGGTGAATATAACAACAACCTTGTTGTATGTAATACAAAATTAATTATAATACGATTTATATACTTGATCATTTCTTAACAATACGAATTAAAATTTTAAGTTTAAAATAGTGAACACCAATGAGAAAAAGATAAAATTAAAATTCAATATAACACTAAGATAATATAACACCGATAGCAATTGCGCGGACCAACGATCAGTATCTCACGAAAGCCTTTAAGCATGTTGTATGTTATTTTAAAAGTTTAGGGTTCTTTGAGCTTAAATATTCTACAACATTCAATTTTTACAAATCACATAAACACGTTATACAAACAAACAATTCATAGGATAGTAAAAAAGAGAAAAATTATACTATCAATACAAAATACATATTCTTTTTAAAATCATTAAAAATAAGTTTTCGCTGTTATGGCCTTATTCGTACTTAAATTATTAACCGACTTCAAAAAAGGAGGAGGTTCTATGTTCGTCTGTATGTATATTTTTTATAATATATTTATGCGATTAATTGATAACGGAATTAAAGTAAGCAATTATATACAAAATTGTAGTATCAACGAGTGTTAGGCACATATAATAACATTTACCATTATTGTAGATTTGATCGTTACTATTATAACTTTCAGTTATTGAAGTTGTTTTACTATCAAACTCGATCGTATAATAAAAGTGTCAATTCAATATATGCGAATAATATACTTAATATAAAACGTAAAATCACAATGACCTAGTAAGTTTTAATATATAATATCTCAGTTAAGAACGCTTTATATATTCGTTATATACACTTAACATATGATGCAATACATTTTTATTGTTAGTAAGTACGTACGAAAATCAAAACTACAATATTTCTCATTGTCAGAGTGATGAGTGATTCATATATTATAATGTATACTACTAATAACTTTTGCCTTATCAACATTGTCAAACCAAACTGGAATTTCACAGAGAATTTAGTTTGACGCGAATTCGGGTGAGATTCGCTGAAATATTATACGCGGAGGAAAAAAACGCGGGATAAACAATAAACGTTAGAAGTAGAGCGGCTAATTATAAAAAATCTATAGAAAAAAGTGTGATCGCCTTAGAAAATAAAAACAATGCAAAATATTCTATAAACACAACCATCTCGTTACTTTACACACTATACGGTACTACTAAACACTAAACATTAAGCACCACAAGATATAAATTATCACCACACAATATAAAGTCAGTCCGCATGAGTGTTGATACAATACGAAGTTAATTACTCGAGAAAATTTTAGCGACTTATTATGAACTAGCGACTTACCCTCGCTTTGTTTAGGTGCGTCCCTAGGTACGCGGGCTCTGTTCACAATGTCATAGGTTTTAATTCTAACTCTTTTTCCAAAATAAACGTAGCCTAAGTTATTCCTTATAACATCAGCTATCTGCCAGTGAAAGTCCAATCACAAAACAAGACAGACAAAAATTCTTTTTTCTTATACATACATAAGTATCGTATATACTTTTATATGCATTTAGTAAAAAACTATTATTTTGACATTACAAACAGTACTTCAATTTTATTTATTTGCATAGATAAATAGAAAATCGCTAAAATTTTAAAATTAGTATGAATTTTAAAGTAAAATTAATGACGAACGGAGAAAAGTTAATCGACACTATAGTAAAGGAAAGACTACATAATATATCTCTATCTAAGCAAAATTTACCATTGAATGTTGGTTAAACTATACGAGCTGTATTATTACAACGCTTGATGTAGCACCTTTATTTTGCAACTAAATTTAAAAAAAAGTCTACGCTTGAGATTCTAACAGTCTATTATTAAATTATCTATTTTGTAAATAATGAAAAGAAATTTTATTTTTTTACATTTAAATGGCACTTTTTGAGATACATTATCCTCAATTAATTTAAAACTTAATATTCGATAAAACAAAACAAATTATAGAGAAAATGGCTCTTGTAATTATTGTTTACTGGTATCAAACTATTCATATGTGCGGTAGAATCTTGCGAGAAACAAACATCCAGGATCAGTACAAAAACAACACAACCATGTAGAAAATCGATATAACAGAATAAATAACGGCCATTACTTATACATACAAAACATTACACACACCGTTTCATCCCAAGAAAAACAACTCGCACAAAAACTTTGAAGTAACAAAAAATGAGGTATAAAAAATGAGAATATTTTAAATATGGCACTAAGGTGATACGTAATGTATCTGTATCTTATATACTTTATATCTTATTTTACTGAACACTATTATTTTTAAAGTTTCAGAGGCCTATTTCTTAAAATTAGCTTAAATATATATTTCTTAAAAAAAAAACATGCATAATTGACTGTGATGAAATCAATTACATTATTTAATTTTAATAGTTTCTGTTGTTAATTGTCATTATTAAATGATAATTCATTCGAGCATTCATTCAAAATTGAATGAGAATGAATAAGAAAATATTGATAATGTGTTTAGAAATTATATCATCATCATAACCACTATTAAAGGTTTATTGTCAAACTATCGTCACCTAACATTATTATTCTTTTAATCATTTTCCACTTTTTATACATAAAATTTTTTTTAATAATTATTATACAAATAAATTTAAAACAATATATTAATTTAATTAAATAAAAAATTTCATTTTGAAATTCCCCTTTTCAAATTCTAATATTTAGTGAATTAAATATATTATATTTATTATTGGACTTAGAATTTTAAGTCTTTTAACGAAAGAGCGCAGATTAAAAATTATTACTATGAAAAAAAAAGCAAAAAAATACATTTTGGAACTTCTAATTGTAACTTCAATTGACTTTAGATCGATTTATAAACAAATTATTATATGTCTTCAGTCTCTTTTACCATAAAATATATTATAATTTATAGTGCAATAAAAAAGATGTGTCAGACTTGTGATGATGTATAGGCACTTATCAAATAGTAATTTTAGTAATTGTGAGATTTTTACTTATATCTGGTTGATACTTTGTTCACTAAATGTATATACGAGTGTGTCTTAAATAATATATTTTGGCATCTGTACAATATTAGCTTTATATACAAACAGGCGATAGATAGCCACAAATATTGTAGTTTCTTAATGTCACAACTATATTTTCATAGACTTTGACATTATATCCATTCAATAGCATCTTCTTACGCTATTTGCAAATAACAGTTAATTATATACAATATATGTATAGTAATAAATTTTATGCGTTTGTTACAACTAATAATTGGCTTACGTATGACTTTCAATGATTATATCAGTTTTCTTTCCAAACAGAAATTTTCTTTTCATTTTTACTATGTAATGCCTAATTGAATTTTTTTAATATAATTTATATTCTTATCATTCAATACAAATTGCTTGTACATTACATATTAATAGCATCATATTTAAGCCAATGTACAGTAATAACATATAAAGCGTTTGGATTCGATGCCTCATATATAAAAATATATTTGAAAAAATAGATTTAACTCTGATATATGAACTGGTGAGTAATACAAGGAGGAATCACCATAAGTGTTCACTGGGAACGTCAACCAAAGGTCCCAAACAAAATGCATTAAGACGGGCAGATAATGAGTGGGATTAGAAAGTATTATAAATAAATAATTTTCTCAAGCATCCATTAATTATGTGAGCTGGTTTTCTAATAATTTGAACCCCTCCCTTCCCCTTCTTGAGATTTAACGAGATTTGGTGGGACACAACCCATACAATGAGATTCAAGCATAAAATGAGATTCACGTTACAATTGTTAAAAATTATACAGCGTTCAGGCACTCACGAAATAAATGTTTTTTTTTTTATAATAGCCGTGAGATTTTTTCAGCGGGCGAAATGGGAACTTACAAAGGTAACGAAAGAAAAATGTAATAATTTTTTAATACCTGCATAATGTATATTCTTTTAAAGTTGACGTGAAATTTTCAATTAAATCTCAGTTTAAATGAGATTTAACGAGACTTTACAAAACCCATCCTCTTCCTCGTTTTGAGCTCACATAATTAATGGATGTCCCCTAAACATCACACGTGAACATCACACTTGAACAACTATTTTGTCATTTATCAGGTCCTAAGTAGTCAGGTTGTTACATTCAAAAAAAGTTAAGTGTGTAATATCAAATGATAAAATTTCTAAATAAATATAAAAATAATATGGAGTGTTAGATGGAAAACATTAAGTACTGATTTAACTATTAAGTAAATTATTCTAAAGTTGGAGTGCTCACTAAAACCCACCTATATATTATTAATATATTAATAAATAAATATTTGGTAATCTGTCGTACTTTAGACAATTCGTCGCTTTGTGCTTATTTGTTCTAACTACCAATACTTAATGTACTTGACAGTAGATATTTTTCCTCTATTTTCAACCAACTTCAAAAAGGAGGAGGTTCTCAATTCAACTGTATTTTTTTTTAATGTTTGTTACCTCAGAACTCCGTCATTTATTAACCGATTTGGACAATTTTTGTTTTGTTTGAAAGGGTATACTTCCAGATTAGTCCCATTTAAATTTCAAAAAAAAAACTTTTTAACAAAAAAATAAAAACAGAGCTCAAACAAAAGCACTAAAAAGTAAAAAATAACTGATTGGTAGTTTTCATTTACTATACATACCTAATCAAATATTTTCAAAATCGGTGCAAATAACGATATGACGATAGCTGGTTATCCGGGTGAACATATAGGATACTTTTTACCATGGGAAAATATACCATTTCAGAGAAAAAATACAAAAACTGCATTGTAAGAGTATACTAATATGTAAAACGTAAGAATTTGGTTTTTGGTCATCTCAACGCGGGTGGAGCCGCCGGCAATGCTAGTACATATATAAAATACATCTCTTTTCGATTTTTTAAGTAAAATGTGTATTTACCAATAGAATTAACATTTAAAATAGAATAATTCTGTTTTAAAAAGTCTTTCGATAATTTGGTCTTTGGACAAATAAGCACACATTCGTAAGAAAGAGAACTAGTAAGAAAGAGAGAGTAAGTTTTGGTACAATTCAATAATTTTAATAAGCACTCCGTTTACTTCAACAATATTTCTTCGACAAGTGATGTCTGTTTAGGATTAATCATAAAAAAAAATACTTATTTATTCCTTCTCTATATATACTCCACGGTGTATTTGATTACCACTGTGATGTTACTCCTCCTTATCCTCCACCGCGGAAAGGAAGAGTTTTTGGCACAAGTGAGTAAACTTAGCTAAAACAAAATAATAAATCAAGGTTAGTTTATTATCTTTATAGTTGATTAATAATTTGTACTACAAGAATGTACTACAAGTATGTACTACCATCTTTTTAACCTTATTAACTTACCTTTAAGTATTTATTTGAACCTATTATATGTTATTTTTTATCAAAATAAGTTTTTAATGTATATTGGCCGTCTTAAAAATAAAAAGTAATAAATGTCACTCGTAGAAAAAGTCTAACTACGTTTCAATAGGTTATGGGCCCAGTCCTATATTTTAGCCAAAATAAATAGTAAAAATTTAGAAACGTCAAATATGCCAGCAGATATTTTGACAAAATGTTTAAATTCAGCTAAACATGTTAAGTTTTTAGATTGTTTAGGTGTTATATGTATACTTCATTGAATTTTTGGGTTAGTTTGTTTTATTTTTAAATTTTAGATTATTTTGATAAAGGGAGTGTGTTATTTTTTATCAAAATAAGTTTTTAATGTATATTGGCCGTCTTAAAAATAAAAGTAATAAATGTCACTCGTAGAAAAAGTCTAACTACGTTTCAATATTATAGGCAGTAGAAATAATACATATATAAGTATTACATAGACATGTACATAAATATGTATTTAATCTTTTAAAGTAATAAATTTCAAATTATCCCATACAGGCTATTTGTATGGGATAATTTACATCATCATTGACACTCTGCATAAACACTACACAAACAAATATAACAAATTTGAAATTTTTGTAAAATTTCACTGCTAATAACTAAGACAGGCACACAGACAAACAACTTTACTAATTACAACACCTTTATATAAATAAAAAACTCACTAGACACATCCCGTACAGCCTTCGGTTCAGATTTCACCAACAGATAATACACAGGAACACCTGCGAGTGTCATCAAAGCACCTGCGATCACTGCAACTGGTTCACTCACAATAGGCACCACTAAGAGGATGAGGCAGATTGTTACAAACACTATCGGCATCCAGAGAGACACCTGGAAACAAATTATATTATTAGTTCAATGGGGAAGTTTGTCATTTTTTTTGTATTAATTTAAAAAAAATAAGCAAAATATATCAAAAATACGAAAGAATTATTTAAATACCTCAACAAATGAAAAATCTCTCAATTATGATACTTTAAAGTTGCGCTTGTAAGAATATTTCGTGACGTCACACGACTTGAACGACCGAAATTTAAATTCATTTCTTAGTCATTCATTGATAGATTTAAAAAAAACACTGATTTATTAGTTTTGACCAATATTATAATTCCATTACGTTCAATTTGTTATTATCAACATCAAGAAACTTCTCCATTACCATATCATAAGAAAGTAAAAGAAAGTTCAAATAAACATCAACAGATGGTGTAATATTGTAAGCGATGATGAGATTGATGACATTGTAAGCATGTCTATTCAGAACAAAAAAATAGTTATATGTCAAGGGTTACATATATCGATTTGCTATAAATTCGATTTACATAATATGTGTAAAATTAGTAAAAAAACAACAGTTCACTAATAAGTAAGTATATTCTAATATAAAAACAATCCAGGTAATGAGAAATCAAATTATGCTTTCATAAATCTCGTAATTTTACTATATACCAATATATTTGTCTTTATTAAGTCATTGTAATTTGTTGTCTATTTATTAAATTAATTAGAAGAAAGTAAAATGAATTTTACTATATCTATACATTAATATTATAAATTTGAAATTGTGTTTGCTTGTTTGTTCTTCCTTCACGTTAAAACAAAGTGACGCATTGGCGTTATTTTTTGTGTGGGGATAGTTGGAGCTGGAAAGCGACATAGACTACGTTTTATCGCGGGAGATTATCTCAATCCCACGGTAAAACACGTTATAATACAAAAAAACAACAACTCATCATACCTCTACATATCTACATGTAATTTATAGTCTATCTAGTCCATACTAACTGTTAAATCGTACCTAGGGACGAACCCGTGCCAAGCGAGAGAGCGAGAGTAATTGAACATATTTTAGTATAAAGTATGAATTAAAAAGTAAATTAGATCAAGTCCCTCAAACTACTTACTCCTTAGTAAATAGTTTTGGAATGAAAGCCATCTATTGCCAACATAAAAAAAATAGCCTGAGCTAAGGCTGTTCAATTACTATGTATGGAATAAGGTATCTGTACTAGTATAGAATTATATAATCTGTGGAGTATATTTTTTACAGTTTTATATAACTGTAATGGCACAGCAGATTTTAGTGAAATTCGTACTGTATAGGAGAACTCTATTGACTTACCTACACCAGTAACGTCACAGGCAATAGGTAACCAAATTTAATTACCTTTATAGGTCTGACTAAATGTGGCTTCTTATATCTTAACCATAGCACTGCACTGCAGCTTAATGTCGTGAAGAAGGATTCCACCACCGTGCAATAGGTGATAAGAGACGTCAGGTTATCAGGTATCAACATGACGAGGGAGATTAGCATCTGAAAACAATTGAAAGACAAAAAAATCCTTAATGAAGGGGATGGTGGATGGTCAAGCCATATTTATAACATACAATATTTTATTATTTTTAACATATAACTTAAATGAAAATTAATCTAAACTAAGTAGACTAGTTCAGACTAATATTGTAAATATCAGAGTTTGCATCACACACACATTTTGTTGTACTGAAATTTGGTACACTGATGAACTATGACCTGGAGTATACATAGGTCACTGTTACATCTAGGGACTACACCCAGGACCTAAACAAAATGATTATAAGTTGCTAGTTGTAATAAAAAAACAAATCAAAAGTATACTAACCAAGAACACCAAAGAAGGCATTGGAGACATACACTTGACATTTATATGAGCGAGTAGTTCAGGCATATGGCCATTCCTTGCCCCCGCAAAACACATCCGCGATGACGTCATTATGTGGACCGATAGACCGCCGACGATAGCGATAGCCACTAGAGTGGGCATCGCAAATCTAAACCAACCCAATGCAGCTACAGAGAAATCCTTAAAACAAGCAAACAATTAAAAAAATTAAAATGGACCAGTATGTAAGCAATAATTTACTAAAAACAGAAAAATAAATATCTCCAATTTATGAAATCAGCAATTTTTTTTATTGTATAATATACTTATTTTTACAAATAATATGCAGATAGTGAAATATATAAAATATAATATTATATACATTATGTATGTTTCAAAATTAAAAGGAATTTAGCAAACTTAATATGTTAACATAGAGTTTGCCATGCATGTTATTTAATTAAATTTCGAAAATATTACTGTTTTTGTACAGACAGATGAAAATGAAAATGTTTATAAACTTTATACTTAGAAGACGGATAAAAATGCTAAAGCTAAGCTGAAGGTACATATATTTAAGAAAATATAATTTGGTAAGAAACTTACAACAGCTATGGCTTCAGTGGCTCTTACACCGGTAGGTCCCAGCACGGCCAAATATGACACATTTGCTAAAAGATATATGGCTGTTACCAGAGGCAGAGACAAGTATATGGCCCGTGGTAGATTCACAAATGGATCTCGAAGTTCTTCTGTCATAAAGTTGAGGTAGTTCCTGAAAATTAAATGAAATTAAGAATTCCCCTACAAATATTCAGAATGTCATTGTTTCTACCACCAGTTTGGAATGAAGTCCCTGTTCTTAGTTCTATAATTCTTATAACATTCCATCTTGCTAAATAACAAATATCGTTTTGACTTGCGTCTTTCCTCTTCGAATTATGTAGTCTGTATCTAGGAAACCTTAACTAGTTAGTACCCATAGATTTCTAAGAAATGAGATATTTCCCCGCAATAAAAGTATCCTATATGTTGACCCGGATAACCAGCTATCGTCGTACCAAATTTCATCAAAATCTGTCCAGTGGTTTTCTCGCGATGCGGTAACAGACAGACAGACAAAAATTCTAAAAACTATAGATTCGGACTCTGTATCGATAATAATGTCTATTTCAATTAGGTTTTCTTAAAAATATTTAATGTACAGATTCGACTCAGTTTGAATTTTATGATATGTATAGATTAATAAAGACAGAAATTTGGCAACCCTCGTAGCACATCTTAAATTCAAGATCGTAACTATATGCAAGCAAGACATGAGGCAGGTATTCACGTTTTTCATATAAGAACATAAAGAGTAACTATCTGTACTGAAGGTACAAAACTGATGAGATTTGGATCTTACATAAATAATCACAAGAACAGTAAAAAAAGAAAGTAAGACAAAACAAAAGATAGATATTTAAAAATGAACTTACCAGCCCGAGTAAGAAAATATCCCTGAATAAAAGGCAACAGACCAGTCACTCACAGATGTTTTGGTACCAACCCACCCATCTTCAAAATTTTGGGTTCCTCCTACAAGTGCATTACAAAAGAATTAAAAGAAAATATGAAAAATTATATAAAACATAATTTCGGATTTTTTCGCGAATTTATTTTGATTTTGCTTCCACACGTTTCAAATCATTTACAGCAATCATGGTCCCGAAAGGACTAAGGTTTTAATAAAGCATTTAATAAATAAAACTGTAAGTAAAAACAAAAAATATATAAAGCAATGGTCATTTCCGATGATTAAAAGTGATTAGACATAGAAATGCAAGCAGTATACCTCAATGCAACATAACAATTAAAAATAACATTTTTTCTACTAAAAAACTAGTATATATACTACTTTGATACTACAACATGTGTAATGTTAAATATAAAATACATGTAAAATAATTCTTAATCAATTACCTCTAGCCATCCACACAATGCCACCCATAATAATAATAACCAGTGCAGATATTTTGGTGAACATGAAAACATTTTGAACACGTGTTGTAAATCTCACATCATAAGCATTTATGAATGTTAAGAAACCTGCAACCCAGTGGAGTTAATGATAGAATGAATAACATCAACACAATAATTGGCAAAAATATTATAACTAAAAATTTCAATGCAGATAATATAGAAGCTAATTAAAATGGCTAACATCATCAAAAATAATATTATTTATGAAATAAAATTCAAGAATCATGAGCTATTGTAATTGGGTGCACAATTTGTTTAAATTAATTTTTAAATACTTTCAATAAAAAAATAGAACCCTAAATTGGGAGAAACACAAGCGTCTCAAAAATATCTGTCTGTGAGCATGTCACAGCCTATTTTCATTTATTTTTGAAAAAGGTACATATGGAATCTAGAGAAACAGTTTAAGATGGTTTAAATAAAGTTTGCGCAATTTTATCTTACTTATATTATAAATGTGAAAGTTTACATGCTTGGATGGATGTTTGTTACTCAATCACACCAGAATGGCTGAAAAAATCTGGATGAAGGGCACTGAGATAGATTATAGTGCTATTCCAGCACAAATGCTAGTTTTTATACAGAAAAAGTATGGTTCCCCTAAGAACGATTTGTTTTTGTTTTAGTGTGAGCCGCTAGAATACATATAATTCTTTTAACATTAGAATTTATATTATGTATGAAAAAATAAAAAAAATAGTTAAAAAATATGCATGAAATAAAAGAAGTCGTTATGCAGGATACATCTGGGCTTTTTATTCTTTTTTTAAATATTATATAAACTAGACTATCATAAAGAAAAAATATATGAAAGAACAATTATATATTTATATCTTCTTTAATTAAGTAAAAAAAGTGACAATGTTATAATAGTCATGAAATTTATAACCGACTAGAGAGTCACCCTCGCTCTGCTTGGGTTCATCCTTAGTTATGTTTTAATGCTTAGTCTAGTTTTCTTAGAGAAGATATATTTTCCTGCAGTAAAAAGTATCCTATATGTTGAACCGGATAACTAGCTATCATCATACCAAATTTCATCAAAATCTGTCCAGTGGTTTTCTCTTGATGCATTCTCAAACAGACAGACAATAATTCTAAAGTAATAGCTATATCAATAAGATTTTCCAAAAAATATTTAATGCACAGATCCGACTCGGTTAGAATTTCATTATATATGTATAGATAATTAAAATTGATCTGTTGTCAAAATAATAGCTTTTCACTAAATGCATATGAAAGTATATATGGTACTTATGAGAATTTTTTTTTTAAATGTATATCTATCTGTCTGTTTATTCCAGCGAATCTCCTAAGGGGCTGGACCTATTTTGACGGGATTTTCACTGGCAGATAGTTGACGTTATAAACAGTAACTTTGGTTACTTTTATTTTAGAAAAAGAATCAGTATTCCACACAAAAAATAATACCCATGAAATTGTGAACAAAATCATACCTAGGGACAAATCGGGGCAAAGCGGGGATAAATCAGTAATAAAAAAATATAAGTAATAAACTTACAAATTGTTACAGCAGCTATAAGCTTCCTACTTAAAGGGTCTATGGGGCAATTTGGAAATATTGGTTCCAGAATATTGTTGGCAAATGTTAAAGACATTATTGCGTTGGTACTTGGCCTGAAAGAAGACTTACTTTAGCATTAAAAGAAAATTATACAAATAATATATTCTAAAATTAGAAGAGGCTGTTTTAAAAACAAATGATAGATACTATTAATTAAAAATTAATTCGGCATTAAAGGTAATCCTTTAAGTACTAATGTACTTACACAAACACCAAATTAGCATCCCATAGATACAGAAAGGCTGGTAGGGGTCCATATGCTTCATTAATGTAATGATAGTCTCCACCACTTTGAGCAAGTGTTGTACCTTAGAGGAATACTCATAATATTATTATATAAATAAATATCACTTATGGTATGGGTATTAACTGAACTGTGTTTAATATTGTGACTAATGTAATAATACTGTATAAGGATAAATAAAATTTGTGAAAATCAATTAATATCAAGTTACACAAGTAAAATTATACAAAATCATTAATTTATATATGAATATTACACAAGAATAGTTCCTGCTTTTAAATAGTAGCAAAATATATTGCTTAAATCAATACTATGAAATACAATATTTACCTAATTCTGCATATGACATAGCTCCTAAGGTTGCTAGGACTCCACAAGCGGCCCATACTGATAAAGCACCCCAAACTGACCCAGTTTTTTCTAAAACTTCTTTGGGAGATATAAAAATGCCACTGCCAAAAATTATGCCAAGAATAATGGCGACCCCTTCCAACAACCCTAGCTGTTTTCTCATTTTCACCCTCTCGTCGCTCATTTTAAAAGTTTTAATTATAAAGTGATGTTGCAACAAATTATTACAAGAACGTTAATACAGCTTTTTATATGGAAGTAGATTACGCTCTTACCGTTATCCCGCTATAAGACGGACTTAACCTATATTAAAATAGAAACAAGTATGTAATTGACCTCCCACATTACTAATTACTATTTTTAATTGGTTTATGAAAACTTGAAAAAGATCCTAACTCACTCGTACACAATGCTACAGTTCATTAATATAAGTTATTATAATTATCATCGTAAGAGGAAATTCAACATTTTACGAATATTTCGCGGCCACATCCAGGCTCCAGCCATGCGCCGTAGCACTTGGCATTAGCCGTCAAAAAAGGGCTACAATTACAATCATAGAGTATATTGCTAATGCTACATATATAAAATTACAATATAGGTACCTTATACATACTCTATGAACCCGTCACATACCAGGGAACAAGTGACAGGTAACCGTCTGCGGTTATATGCAAAGAGAATGTAACCACTAATATATTATAGATTAAGGTTTACTTTAGGTAGGCGTAGGTACTAGATAAAAATAACTATCTATAAAGTATATGATAGTATATAAATTATTATATTATATAGTTAGTGTAGGGGTTGAAATGATCTTTAATCTGTGAACTGTTTGTAGTTATGGAAGAATTTTGCTTTTTTCTCCCACTAGATGTCGCGATCGGTATGATCTTCGGTATATAGTAAAGCTGCATTTTTTTTCATTTTATTTAAAATCTAATTAAAATAACAAACTGTGTAGTGAAATGGAAAGAAAATAGATACCATTTGTTTTCAAAAGACAAAAACAAGAAATTATGGGCTAAAGCAATAAGACGACGATAATTGGAATTTGGCAAAATCACAATCTTTATATTTAAGACTATGTAGACAACATTTTACAGAATGTGATTTTAAAACCCTTAAATCGTATACAGGTGAATGCTTTGTTTTATTGAAGTTATACTTCTTTTAGCACGTTTTGAAAAAAAACACAGTTTAAAATTTTTACTATGCGCGCGCTCACCGACAGTCAGAACGCGACATGATGAAATTAGTTGCATTTTTTACAGAGTTGTGATATACGGGATGAAATTTTTAGCTATTTTTGTTCTGTTATGCAAAAAAAGCGCAAAGTAAAACTTCTTACGTGCGTGCATTCACGTTACGACCGTACCCTTTTTTTGTATTCTTTTACATATTCATTATAGAGTTTCATACAAACTTTCATCTTCCATTTTACCCCCCTATGACCTACCAAAAAATGCTAAAACACGTATTTATTTACATAGTTGTATTGAAGAGCATTAATTTCAAGTTTAAACTAATTCTGATCATAAATAATTCGTTGCTCATATAAACTTTATTATCCCCTTTTACCTCTATATGGGATGAATTTAAAAAAATCTAATAAGTATATTTCTTATTTTTCATCTTAAAGCTAAACACTACTTTATGTGTATTTCACATTAAGAATGACAGAGTTTCATACAATCTAGATTCCCAGATTTTACCTACTTAAGATGAATTACGAAATATCCGTTCTTATCGGATGCCTACATCATATAAGGAATACGTCCTCCAAATTTCACGTTTCTACAACCAGCGGTCTAAATTGTAAGTTGATCCATCAGTCAGTCAGGACCACCACAGTATGCACCTTTCCTTCTCAATTGTGCCTTCTGCTGGTCTAACTTACAGATACAATACATTGCACAGGTAAGATGCGAACACAATAGAAGCAAAAACCAGGTACAAAAGATATATCATAATAAATTGCTTAAGCTCAGTGTTACGGACGAGGAGTCCCGTGAAAATCTAGTTTTAAGGCACGCTTCTTTATTTTCGATAAGCACGCATGTACTTTTGTACGCTATAGATTTAAGCCACGCGCCTTTTTGTTTGCAAAATAATATTTTAAGGATGTTGCTCGATCAGCAGCATAACTAATACGCCTGATAAACTACTTGCAAGCATTTCTTAAAAAGGGTTACATACTCTATAGCATTTGTAGATTTGACACTTCCTCTTTTTAGATAAACAGTTTGGCTAATGGCTTTGACTTTGTTTGTTTTTTCGTTCGTACGTTCGCTCATTCGTTTGTTCGCTTGTTTGTTTGTACTTCTTTCAAGTTAAAATAATAATCAAGTGGTGGTGGTAGAGGGCACTGCTCGCGACTGGCTCGCAACCACTATCTATCATACGTATTCCATTGTAATATGTCTTCGGACGTGTTCCTGTCGTAGAGATGTAAGCCAACCCCCTTTTCCCGAATTCTGTTGGACTCAGCGACCTCAGTCCTCGCTGCTACCAGAGAAGTACCAGGAGCAACCCGCATAACACACCACCCACCGAAGTGGGTTACGTTCCTGTGCGTTTCTTGGCTTAGCGCCCAGCTGGATTGCCGGGCACTACTGAGCCCCCCCACCACGACAAGGACACGTTTATTTAATGCTGTTTCTAGATCATGCAAGACACTAATGGCCAGGGCAAGAGACGATCATATCCGCAGCATTTGCGAGAGACTTCTAAGCCTTCCATCTGGATCACGTGCTATTTGGGCTCTCGCCAAAGCTACGGAAGGAAATTTCTGTCGATCATCCATACCAACCCTGTGCAAACCGAATAGCATACTGGCACATTCTGCAATAGAGAAAACAGATCTCCTGTGATCTTTTTTTTTGCATCGAATTCAACTCTTGACGACGGGGGACTATCACCGCCTACCATCTCGCAGTGTGATAGCATGATACCCGAAGTACGCTTCACGCAACGTGAAGTGCGTCGAGCACTTGTCTCCCTAGACGTCAAGAAGTCCATCGGACCTGATCCTTCCCCATCCAACGCCGGACAGTTCGTATTGTCGACGATCCCATACATCCCATTTTACTTCGCACGTGCAAAATGTGGAATGATCTTCCTGTCGAGGTTTTCCCTGAGCGGTATAACAGGGGGGCTTTCAAGAGCCGTGTCTTCAGATCCCTTAAAGGCTAGCAACGCATTCGCAACTCCTCTTGGGTTGCAGTTGTCTATGAGCGGCGATAGCTACTAACCAACAGGTGAATCGTTTACACGTTTTCCCCTTTTTCCTATAAAAAAAATATATTATATCATATTATATTTGTCTAGTATTGTTCGTGTTGTGTTTGTGTATAATTTTTGAATTTTTTAAGAATGGAAAGATCAAAAATAACAAATTAAATTAATTGACTTTCGCCATAAAACATAGTTTTAATACTTAAATCCAGTACCTAACAAGGTTCCAATTACGTTATCGTCAGCTAAGTTACAAATTCAAAACTAAGCTGAAGCAAAACCTGAAATCTGCTTCCTTAACATATTCAAATTTGTTTAGTTTTTAGAGGTTTATACCAAATGAACTACGTTTTCTTAATTATTACACTCCTTATAAAATATGTCTGTGCTAGACATGCATCTTTAGTACGTTATAAAATATATTTTCGATATTATTATTTTTGTATCAATAATGACTGATTTTTTCAATTAATTATATTTTGTAATCTCCAGCATCCTGTACTCGTGGCTCGATCTTCTTTAGACTGGATGCCAAGTAGAGTAAATTCACTTTATTCTGATGTTGGGGCTTGGAGTGGTAAATTCGTAAGTGACTATAGAATACTAATAAGCTATAAATAATGTTAGTAATTATTTATTAGTAAAATAAGAATTTATTGGATATTAATCTTCTTCTTCTCCCTGCCCATTTCCCAATCACTTGGGGTCGGCGCAGTACATTTTCTGTACTGCTGATAGGATTTGGCAAATTTTTACGACCGGCCGCCTGCCTGACGTCAACCTCCTTGGGAATGGAATCGTTATTGGATATTAATATTAGGATAAATTAGCAGAACCTTAAGCTTCGCCCGTGTTCAAATTACGAAAAACAAACTCTTCTTTCCTTTCCCTGTACAAAAATGTAATGAAGTCTACCCGGTTTGATGGCATTTATGACTACTGCTCCTTACTTCTGCTGCTTGGGTAATAGCATTATGATATATATTCTATAGCCTCCCTGAATAAACCAGCTATGTAATGCAAAATGAATTTTTCAAATCGGATTAGTAGTTCCTGAGATTAGCGCGTAAAATCCAATAAACAAATAAACAAACGAACTCTGCCTCTTTATAATATTAGTATTGATTATGTTTAACACATAAAGATATATTTGGCTTTTTACAGAGACCTGTGATGGACGAAATTGAATCAGATGAGGCTTTACGATTCTATCAATTTTTAAATTATTTAGATGGTGGAAGTTTTGGGACTGGTAAATAATAATAAATATTTTAGGACGACGATAAAATATAAATAAAGAAACTATTTTTCTAATTTTAATATTATTAATTACAGGTCCTATAGATGAGTTTGTTGATGCAATGAATAGATTGGCTACATACATGAAGCAACAAAATAGTCGAGAAACTCAAGTTAGAGGAATGCGCGAACTAGAAGCTATAAATGGAGAAAAAGGTTCGATTAGTATTCGTTGTTTTTGTGGAACTGTATAAATATAAAATTGTGGAAAAAAAAATTATTTTTATAGGTAACAGTATTAAAACTGTATTGGAAATAAGTACTGTCATCATGAGAAAAAAACGAAAGTTCTTTTGCACAGGAGAAGTAAAAGAACCAATTGTAAACAATAAAATTATATGTAAGGTAATCAATCACTCATAATTCAATAATAAATGAATTAATTCAATTATTTGATTTAAAATGATAAAAATGATATGTTTAGGATAGAATACTGCTTCCCATTGCGGGTTCTTCATGCAGAGATGCCATAATGTACTGGCACCCAAGTCTTACTGAAGAACACTATTGTGTTGGCGCACTTGAAGCTAAAAGTCCAGTTCACATTATGTATATAGAAGGTAGTTTAAGTATTATAGTGTTTACATTTTTTTACTACCAATATAAGATAATAATTAAGAGGTTCATTGATCTCTACCTAAAAACCGGTAGAAATTCTATAATGTGCAGGATAACGCTTTTTTTTATGAAAATAAACTATCAGCTGAAAAATGAGGTTGTGATGTGCGGAGTATTTAAACTACATACTTATTAAATATATATTTTATCTTACAACTCGCCCTCGCTCTGCTCGGGTTCATCCTTAGGTACGTTTTAATAGTTAGTATGGAATACTAACTATTAAAACGATATATAGGCCCACCACTAAAGCCAACTATTGAAAGCAGTTTCGATTTTCAAGCAGTTCTTATGGATTTTAACATACCTAATCCCCAACAAAACAAAAACAGAAATATTAAAATCGGTCCAGCCGTTTTTAAATTTTAACGAATGGAAAATTGAATTTTGTATATAATGTAGGTATGTAAAGTATAATGTAGGTAAGTACTCGTATATGGAAGATAGATGACAATTTAAAACTCATATTTCAGGTGAGATGTTTTGTAAAGGAGATGATTACTCCAAAAGGGAGTACTTGTTAGCTTGTGACTTTTACGAGGATCAAGAAGCACCTGTTGCGGACTTACTCCAGTATTATCCAGATCCTGATCCTGAAATATCTCCAAAATTATTTTAATAATGTCTTAATTCTATTATTTGGCCATTAATAAAAATGATTATGTAAATATTTAATATGTATATCAATCACATATTTTTATGTACTCGTTAAATTATACAAATTAAAGCTCATTGTCATCATACATACTTTGTAACATGTGAGATTGTGTGAATACTGTTCATATATTCATACTTAACTACTAATAAGACAGACAGACAGACAAAATTATTAAAACCTATAGATTCGGCCTCTGTATCGATAATAATGTTTATTTCAATGAGAATTTTCAAAAAATATTTAATTCGGCTTAGTTACAATTTTCTTTGTATAGATAATTTTCGAACAAACAATTATTTATGGCGAACAAACCACGAATAAACGATATGTGAAAATAAAAAGAGAAAAATTAGAAAAAAATATATATCCTTGGACAGGTTTGGTGAGCCATCCAGTAGCCAGTAAGTACATATATGCTAGTACGGCAGGCCAATAAATTTATAATATGTAATAATAATAATTGTTAGCGCGAAAACAGTTCTAACAGAATCTCAAATACGAGTAATTCATCGTACCCAAATAAATAAAATATGGACTGACTTTTTCTTAACTCTACTTAAAAAGAAATAAGATTTATTGAGCTGTACCGAGTCTGAAATAATTAATCAGGAATTGCACAATCTTAACGATAAGCGTGAGTACCTAAGTAGTGAAAATCCGCGATGAAAAGCTCGCAAACAGTGCACGTTCCATTAAAAGGAAATAAAAGTAGAATAAAGGTTTTATAAGGAACGCGAAGCTAAGGAATGCACTGGGAGGTAGCCCACTTCTGTGGGCGGTGGCGCACTTCGGTGGGTGGTGTACCATGCGGGTTGCTCCTGATACTTCTCTGACAGCAGAGTGGACCGTGGAGCAACCCCGTGGCTATTGTCTCGTATTGGTCTGCTTTGGCAGATGTACCGTCGGGGCGTCGTAGTTGAATGCGTAAGCGATCCTGCGAGGCTCCATTAAGACGGGGGAAGGTTTGTTGGGTTTTAGAGGGGAGTACTGGCTTTTCTTGTTCTAAATTAAATTAAATATTTCTAGATAATTGTACTTAATATTTATAATATTTTATTTAATTGTATCTTTCATAAAGGAACATGAAATTTAATAAAAATACGCAAAATGTTTATAAAAATAAAAAAAATAACAGAAGTGATGATTGCGTAGTCTTACAAGGCTAGAAGGCTCTTACAAGGCTCGCGGCAAGGATGAAAAGTTTATGTCACCGGCTGCATAATACTATATTCCTTCGTGAACTTGTTTTCATCTTTTTAGTTCGCTTTTATGCAGTCGGGTTTTTATTTTTATAATATATTTATTAACTTGCGGTGCACAATGACACTAGTCTAATATAAATGGGTAGAAGATTATTTTAGTAATAAAAAATAGCAGCAGTATGTAGTATACACTTGGCCAGCGGTACCCAAATGGTGGTCCGCGAAACCCTAGGGTTTTTGTGTTGACAACTTCAAACATTTCAATGATTTACATTGAAATTCGTGGATGAAGGACAGCTATGCCGAACTAGTTAATGTGTTGTCCCGGGTGAATGAGAGATTTTCCTGTAGTAAAAGTAAGTACTAAGTGCTGACCGAGTCTATATTCTGTTCACAATAAGTAACAGTAATTTTTTTTACAAAATATTTTATGTGCAGATTTTCCTTTATCTTATTACTAGCGACTCACCCTCGATTCGCTCAGGTTCGTCCCTAGGTAGGTACGTTTTGACGCTTAGTATGGAATAGATTTTTGTTTTCAAATTTTATTTCGTTAATTTTTCCGATGTTTTATTATTTATTCTACTATTCGGGGTGAAGACAAATCCAACAGAACAAGATCATGAAAATCGGTCCAGCCGTTCTCGAGTTATAAGTGTTATAACAAACCCGACTTTGTTTTATATATATAGATATGTAGGTATCGATACTTCTTCTTCTTCTCCCTGCCCATTTCCCAATTACTTGGGGTCGGCGCAGTACATCCTCTGTACTGCTGAAAGGATTTGGCAAAAGTTTTACGACCGGCCGCCTGCCTGACGTCAACCCTCCTTGGGAATGTAGGTATCGATACTAATAGATAAAAAAGTACAAAAAGATTTATGTTTAATAACTCAAAGGTTTTAAGGTAAATGAAAAACTACGTATAAAAAACATTTATTTCTTGCAACAAAATCATCGACTGTAACAGCATTATCGATCATTAATATCAAATTAATTGCACAATCAAAATAGGTTAGGCTTACATCAATATCGTCAGAGTAAAATATTGGGAATTATAACGGACGCATTTTCCTTTTTAATGGACTTAATGCACAGATACTCCTTATGTATAATTTTACAGTGACGATTTACATGAAAAGCTAAAAACTTGCACAGATATCAGAACATATAGAGAAAAGTTATTATTTTTCCTAATATACCTAACTGGCTGTCCCATTTAAAGTTAGGATAAATATCTATAGTTTTAAGTATGTCGTACTAATTTCTAACATTAGCGAATTCATTAAGAAGATGGTAATAACAGTTAATCGAAGTAAATCGTATAGAAAATAGTAAACAATGCGACGTACACGCTAAGTATTTGATTCTCATACGTAAGATTAAATAAACTTTGAGTTTTGTAATTCGATTGGTTCAATAACTTAATATACAAGTAAAAATTAAAATTAATAATATTATATATTATATATTATTATTATGGAGGTAAAAATATTAATTATATAAAAATTATAGTTATAGGTACAGTAGGTGTGTATGTGTTGTATATTATACAGTAAAAATTACTATGTAATCATTCAGAAAATATTATGCCTCATAGGTACGAGTATAATGACATATAAGAATTCGTAGATAATTATAAAGACGCATTTAAAAATCAAAATCTAGAGTTTTTTCCTTATAAACTAAGTCTTATTAGTAATTATCCTAAGTAACTTGTATTAAGATGCTAAAGATGCATATTTAAATGCAAAATAATTATTTTTCCCTCGAAATATATAAATTTTAGAAGTCCATTAATTACCCTGAAATGTTTGCAAATAAATAGGCCCTGAACGACATAGACATGATGGACGTCTGCCCAGTGAACTTGAAATGATTTTATTCATTTATAAATTGGAAATGTTTCGACCCTTACTTTAGTACCTTTTCTCTCAGTCATAAATATGTCAAGCAAATCTGTATTAAAAAGACGTTAATAATAATTTTACTATATACATTAGAAAAGTAATTCACAAGAGATACGTATAGAGGAAAGAATAGACATATAATATTGACAAGTGGTGGTCCTAAATTTACAAGTTAATTGTGTAAAGTTATGTTACCGAAGATGACTACGTGGGTTCTTCGATTTAGAGTTTATTATATTAATCCTTAAAAAACACAGTAGATTAGTTTTCATACGAATTGAATAAAAATAAAATTTTAAGAAAATATTTATCAAGAATATATTATGGATTTTTATTTTTTAAATACAAAATAAGAAATAAAATTACAAATGTAATTTTGTAAATAATATGCTAGGAGAGGAAGAAGTTCTCTCGTTATTGTTTGTAGAACTATACTATAATAGTTGACTATTTACGTAGTTACTATTCTGCTAGAAGCCTTAGGCTTAGCATTTCCTTATACCTATTCTACGTATGTACAGCGGTCATTTTGAAAGTGTTGCCGACACTGTTATAATAATAGGTATTATTTTTTATTATTATAACTATGATCCTTAATTTAATCTTTAAATATGAAACGTTATTTGTGTATGAAGACAAAATAATTAAAATTCTAAATCACAATTATTTCATGTTGCTTTTTAAAAATACGATTTTAACTGTAGAATGATTTCAATAATAAACAGTTTTTATTAAAAATCTTCGTTCGATCAACAATAGTATTGGATTGAAAATTGAAAATTTGAAAATTGTTAAAAATGAATAGGTACATACTCGCATAGCCGTGCATATTACGTTAAGAAAAATCTGAAATTAATATGAAATCTTAACCTCTATAGTACCTACTACACTCTACAAACATTAAGAGTTCGTTTATTGTGTTATCTATATTTATTTTGTAATGGCCTACGAATAAATGATTATTTATTCGTAAGTAATAGCTAAAATTTGATAAAATGCTTTTATATAGATTAATTCTGACGGCTGACTTTTAAATAGTCGTAGGTAATAACCATGAACGAATTAGCCACAACATATTATTATTTTATACGTACCTACTATAAATTATGAATTATAAATATTTAATTATAATTAAATAAGAAACGTACGTTTGTTAAAGGATTACCTATCTGAATTGAAATTAAAAATAAATTTAAATTTTGTTCATTATTTTATTTTAAATAGGTATTAACTAAAATGTATTTTTAATTTTAAGTAATATTTTACTTATTTATTTTTATTATTAATAGATCTCCTTTTAATTTGGATTTTAGTATTAAAAAATAACAATTTCTTATAAACTTCATATAAGTACTTACTAACATAAAATATTAATCCTAAACCTATTTTAATGTAGAATAAATCATATTTAATAATTACTTATTTACCATTTATTTTAAAGACAATCTAATAATTATTGTTAAACTAGCCCTTTTCATCGTTATGGAAACCCAAAAAGCTAATCTATTTTTAAATCTAGAATGCTATTATTACTTTATTATATTTATTTAATAATATGCTATTGAGGAGTATAAAAAATTATAAAAATGTCAATATATAATATTAAATCAGTTGTTGTTTAAAAATAAAAAGAAACTTGTTTCATTCGTTAAGAGAATACGAAAAACCAAATTAAACTTATACTTATTTCGAATATACCTATACTAGAAGAGAATATTAGAAGCTTCAGTCACGGTAATGTTACATAATAACATTAACGTGCTTCAGTGTATGCCTACACTGGCAGTGGCTGTACTAAATTCACGCTACATTTTAGATGTACCTATCTGAATGCCTCGCCGACGTC